CATATGCTTTGGAGATAGTGGGAAGTGGGTCCATGGCTAGGATTTAGCTTCGGATGTTGGAGAAGAAGTCATTGAGTCCCTTGTGAAATTGGAATAATCGTTTGATGTTGGCTGCTTTCTCCAACCTCTTACGACCATCACAATTACAAGGGTTGAGCTCAATTAGGGCAGTGAGTTTATCCCATAACCCTTTGATGGTGTTGTAATATGTGGTGATTGACATGGTGTTCTGCTTGAGATTAATTAGATCACATTGAAGACGATAGGGGTGGGGGTGATTGCTTTGGGAAAAACGGTTATCCAGATTAACCCAAATATCTGAAGGTACCGTGCAATAAATCAAACTCTGTCAAAGAGGTTTGTCAATAGAGTTTAAGAGCCAAGAGAGAACCATGTCGCTGCAACGATTCCACAGTATTGCAATTTGTGTGTCTGATGGTTTCTTTAGAGTACCATCAACAAATGGAAGCTTGTATTTAGCATTGAGAGCCATACGCATTGAGCATTTCCAGGTAGGATAGTTTTCTCCAGTAAGGAGATCAGGTACTAATATGGCTCCAGGGTTATCAGTGGGAGATAAGAAATATAGGGATGTGAGGTCATTGATTAATTGTGAATGAATGGAGTCAGACATGATGGTTGTTGTTCTGGACGTTTGCAGAAGCTAGAAGAGGCCGCAATGAAAGAAAGGCTTAATTCCATAATAAAGTTTGATGAACAGAGGTATTGATGAATGAAGGATGTAAAAATTATAATAATCCTCTTCATATATTTTACAATATTTGTGCATACATTTATAGGTGAAACTATATGCTGTAGTAAATGGAAAACATAGGCATGATTTATGTGATTTCTACTAATCATAGTATTTGCTTGATTGTTAGAGTGTTGTGATTGCTGCTATGACTAAGGGTGTGATGTAATACTATCAGCAATCAAATCCCTTGATTGCAGACAGTGGCAAATTTAAGTGGTGGCGAGCTAGGGCGGCCGTCCTAGTTGGATCTGTCTGGAATTTTTATTTTTTTTTACTGACAGTAGTTGATAAACATTATATATATATATATATATATA